ATTAAAGGATTTCACCATTAACACCTCATTACCATTAGTTATAGATTGTGCTGAAAATGATTTTGTGAATTAATATGTAAAACCAGTAGGGTTGTTTTTAAAAAAATATAAATTTTAGTCCATAATACATATACTCTCTTCTCTCTATATAGGCAAAGCATTTAGGTATTATATTTGAAATTAATTATTGCCACAACAAGCATTGTTGCTTCTAGTAAAATAGAAGAGAATAATTTTTAAAATTGGTCTTAGATTAAGGTCCTTGAAAATTTTGTTGAGGTCCTTGAAAAGTCCTGGAAAGTCCTTGAATTTCAATCTCATCATAGAGTGGGAACCCTGTACTTGTTTTTTTAAATTTTTCGTTTAAAATCAATTTGGCACTTTGGCGATTATAGTTGGCGTGGCAGATCATGATACAGAAATATCCCCATTCCAAAACTTTTTCAATCAAGAAAAATTGAGAGTTAATGCGTGTCTTTATATTATATTTTGCTGATATGTACTGTATTATCTGTTTTCATCCACTACAATCGCCAGAGGGTTTTTAAACGGGCTAAAATAAAAATGTATATTCAGATTTACTATTTGGTGACTAAATATAATACCCTTCAAGTTTGTCCCTTTCTGGGATGTATATAGATATGTTTTTAGTTTCTTACAGCCACTTCCTGGAACTTGGCAAAGCTTGACGTTTATTTTGGGGTAGGTATTGATATGGAAATATTCGTGGGAATATTTAGAAGATAGACAGAGTGCATAGCGGTTTTAAAAAGTGCTGAAATGTGCTTATTTTCGATTTTAGTTTTAGCCCTTAAAGGTGCTTTTTTCATTGGGTGTTTTTAAGAAGTGCTTAATTTTCCCTTTTTCAAAATGTGACTTTTCCTTTACCATGTTGATTTTTGCTTCGAATTATGCAAAAAGACACAGTTCACATTGTTCTATTCAACGTTTTCACAATTAATTCATCCCCAATCGACTATTTCGGCATATTGCCAGTCCCTAGCCAGTAAGACGCCATTTGTTTTACATGATTTTTGACAATTGTCAAAAACAATACCAAAAAGTTTTTTTTTTGACATGACAGTTAAAATGGATAAAACCCTCAATTGTCAAGAACTTTCCAACCCTGCCTAATTAATGATATTTTTTTAAAAGTACTTTAAAATATTATTTGAGTGCTTGAAAAGTGTTTAAAAGGTACTCATTTTTTGTTGAATAATTTGGCTATGCACCCTGATAGAACCATGGTGGCTCAGAGGATAAAGCTTTAGCCTTCCAATGTGGTTAACCGGGCTCAAATCCAAGCTATGGCTGGTCAATATGAATTCTGCACTTGGCTTGCACTGCTGACACTGATGACGAAAATAACGTTAGTGGTACATCATGTGTTAAGTCCCCTTGCCGTCAGGCTAACCATGGGACGTTTTCATAGCTTTCCTCTCTATTTATCACAAATGCTGGTTAATTCCATCAAAAAGTCCTCCACAAAGGATTTTGGAGCTCCCTTGTCTTCCGGATTGGGCTTTAAATTACAAAGCTACTGAGTCGAACATCTGTAGTCGTGAACTCAAAATCAGGGCAGCTTTTCAACAACAGTTATAAAATATAATAAAATAATGTAAGACATTAGATATTATGCTTTTGAAAATGTTTATAATTGTAACTATTATTCAACGCAGTAAAAACATGAATATGTAAATTATTTCAAGGTAAATACTGCAGAACCATGATTTATTATTTTATTAAATTTACGCTATTACACTGGCAATTAATAATACAATTAACCAAAATCAAATTTAATTAAAAGGATGAGATTACTTTGATTTACTCAAAAGGATTATATATTTTGCTGTTTGATTAATGTTGTCTAGTTTAGCCTTTTAGTATGAAGTTGTTTTATCAAGTATAAAACAACTCATAACATGAGTTAGTTTTAACTCATCAAATGGAAACTTTTCCCATTGAATAAACTAGTGACATACATTTTTTTCTCATTTTTTTCTTACACACTGAGAGTATAGTTCTAAGTTAAGTATACTACTTCTACGATAATATTTAAATGTGAATTTTCTTGAAACAAATTAGTTATAAAATATGTTTCATATTTTCTTTTCAATTTCAAATGTGTCCTATCTTTTGTGAAAAATTTGAAAAATGTTTTGTGGAGCACAGTTTTATAATTTTTTGCCTATAAAATTAGGAGGTGACTGGAACATTGCACATGTTGAATTTAACAGATAATCTGCAAAGGAGCTAAATAAAGACACATTAAAATGGAGGTGGTCTCTGATTGCTTCAATTGAGGCTGAATTGTTTTGAGTTAAAATATTTTTGGATGTTAGAAAACCATCTGTGATTGGCTGAAATCTTAAATTAAAAAAGTTATCTTATAAATTAACCATGTAATCATAAAGGTATCTTTATCTGGCAGAGTGTCAAAATTATAGATAGGAAGATATTCTTTTCTAGCTTCATAATGTAGTCTTTAGCTATTCTGAGTAATAAATACATTATAATGAAAATAGCTAAAAAAATGTAAGAAATAGTCATGGTTAATAATATACTTCGTAATTAAAATAATATACAGTCGTCCCCACTTAATCGCCCCTCGGATAATCGAATAACCCGCTTATACGAATAAAATTTAATGGAACCAAATCATTTTATATGAAACTAATGTTAAATTTTCCCGTTTAAATGGTTATTTGTTGTTTTTTGCCCCCGCTTAATTGCATAAAGAAGTGGTACTGAAATGAAAAAAAAAAATTTTTTTTTTGAGAAATGTTTCACCAGCTAAAATACAATTTTCCTTTTTAAGATAAGGATACAAGATGGTAATTTAATAGGGACTTCTTATTCATTAGTAGGTGTTTGGGATGAAGTTGAAAAATTAATCAAATGTTGCTGCCAATTATACATTGGAGTAAACGAAGGGTGTTTTACCCCTCTTTGACTTACTTCACTCGCACATCATTTAGTATGTGAAAAAGGGATAGAGTGATTTGTTTTTAGATTAAGACTTGTGTTCCCCTCTTGATGCATTATTAAGTTTTAAAAACTTAATACACTAGTGTAAAGAATGTTTTCTCATAAGTAGAATAATTGCTTAATCCTGTGAATAATTTTGAGTTGGTTGTAAGTTGAGAGCGAAAAGGAATGATTTAAATTAATGGGAGAAAAAAAATAAACAATGAATCTTAGGATCAATAAATTAAAAAAAAATCCCCAACTAAAATAGCGCATTAATTAGGAATTTCTCAAGTTTCAAAGATAAAAAAAAAAACAGCAGCAACATTCTGAATGTGTTTGAAAGAAATATGCACGAGGCATGAAAATTTTAGTAGAAACTAAAAGGGAAAATCTAATTTTGATAAATTGACAAATTAAGCGGGTACAAAAAACAGTCTTCAATTATAGAATTTTTTGAATGGGATCAAATAATATTTTAGTTCCAACATGATTCACTAACATTGATTTATTTTTATGTCACTTTAAATGATATTTTTTTTATGATACTAAGGCAGAAAGTTCTAATTATAATTATTTATTGATCATAAAACTGAGTTTATTTAATCAAAACGCTACACTACGCATTAAATGCCATTAAAAAGTAAAATTTCACAAAAATTCTGAATTTAAGATTGAATATAGCACTCCTCTTTTAATCGAATAACCCGCTTAATAGCATAGATTTGGCTGGAACAGATGGTAATCCTTTAAGCGGGGTTGACTGTACTTCGTAACTTCGTTTAATAATATACTTCGTAAAAAAAAAATGAAGTTATGATTTTTATACTCAGTCTTTGTTTTCCAAATTGGGACACTAATTGTTAAATAATATGCTTCGATCTTTTATTTGAGTAATATTAAGCAATTTTTTCCCTTTCAGATTTTTTGACAAATAAAGCTGATTTCTTATTTAAACTTCTTTTACAGACTCAACAGTTTTGGCATATGTAATGAAACTTTTGAACGAACGCTATGATTATGGTTTGAAACTTGTCCTCTTATCAATTGATGAAGGCATTACAGGGTATCGAGATGATTCTCTGGAGGTATGTAGCATATCAGACAAAGTTGTCCCTAAGTTTTTTTTAAGATGAACTTGTTTCTGCCCAATTGTTTAAGCTGATTGATTTGCTGATAAAGATAAAAAAAAAAAAAAAAAAAAATAAAAAAAAANAAAAAAAAAAAAAAAAAAAAAAAAAAAATTAGGCTGAAGATGTATTCTTTGCACTGAAAAAAATAATTGGAAAGTTGAGCTCTTATGTTTTTGCTATAATATTGTTCAGAAATGAAGAAAATTTCTGTTCGATTTTTATTTTGGGTGATCATGGCCTGCTGTATAGTGGAGGATGATATAGATTCAATCACTTCACAATTTTAGCAATCATAAGGAGATATTACTTGATCTCTAGAAATGTTTCTTGTTATCTGGTATAGAGTCGTTAGCTTGGTGAAAAAATCAGTCTTTTTTAAATTTTTGTTCAAAGGGACCAATACATTATTAAGTTAAATTTTTCGAGTGTAAAAATACAGTAGAACCTTGATTACTCGTTTCTCAAGGAACCGTTTGTTGGGAATGATAGGGCGATGAATGCGGGTCAATATAAGATAATTACTTGAAAAAGTACGAAAAGTAATAATGAAATATCGCACTAGTAAATTTGCAATATACAGAAAACTAATATTATTGCAAAAATATTTATAATGCCAAAGGTTGATAAATCAGCAAGTTTATTTATTTAAAAAATTTTAATTGTACAATCAAAATAACAGACTGGGTTTAGAAAAAGCTGCAAAACTTGTTTTTTTGTTCAAAATGTTGAATCCTAAATGCTAAATCCTAAACTTGTTTTTCAATGGTTAAAAAAAAGTTTTTCTCTAAAACTTTTCCTGTTTTTTTCCCAACTCTGTATTTAAATATGAAAATTGTAATAAAATTTAGTGCGGTGTGATATAATTGCTTGTTATTTATTTTAATTGTTCTTGTAAGTAATTTTCATTTTTTAAAGTATGTATATTAGTTGAAAAAAGAATGTCGGAAAAAACCTGGTTTATACCAAAAAAACCGGATTTTTTGGTTTTCCCCTAAAAAACCTGTTTTTTTTTTTTTTTTTTGCCAACCCTGTTTGAAATATATAGAGATTTAAGTTTGATAATTTTTTCTTAACAATGGAATTTAATTTTTGATATTTGTAATTTGCTGATCTTTTTCTGTAAGTTTGTGTGCATACAGAAAGTTTCTCATTATTTCAAAGGTTTTGAAGTCTTTCCCCATTGTTGGTACTAGTTGGGGTTCCATTTCACCCTCCTCATTGGTATCATTCTCCACTTCAGTATCTGCAATCATTTTTTCATCCGATATTACACCTCAACTTTGAACATTTTCGTCGACTTATGTTAAAAAATGATACTCGTGGCGTTTTTCTCCAACTGTAACAAATTCTCATTTTTCACTTCTGATGTTTACATTATAAGAATATCATTTGTAATAATGCCTACAGGAAAATGAAAGATGCGGAATGATAGATCAAGGTTTAATTGCATTTTTTGTTTACACTTTCTGTGAAAAGTTAGTCTATTTTCAAGGAATAAACTTTTTGATTTTGGTTATCCCCAGACATTGCTGTTCATTGCATTATTAATATATATTTTCTTTAAAAACATGTTAAAGCTATTTTTGAAGGCCTTTTTTTAAGAAAACATGCTATTTTTAATTTTCCAATCTTACCATCTTGTAATTTTGGTACTTGCTTAAATGTAGCACAAATATTGTAAAAATATTTCTGTTTTTGAACTATTATATGCATCACTTTTTTCACACTCACAATGTAGCAACTTCATGTTATGATTGTTTCAATTAGTATGAAATGGCTAAATTAATTTATTTTTTCAAAGATGGTCTTAGATTTAATCATGAATTGTGATATTAATATCGTAAACTAATAACAATGGCTTAGATTAGTATGTGGCTTTTGTTTCTCTCACCCTATGAAAATGATTAAATGTATAAATAAATACAATTATTATGAAAAAAAAAATTTTTTTTTTCTTTTCAAGAAACTCATTTTACAGAACTGAACATTTTCTTTCTAATTTTGACACATTATTTTTGATATAATTTTTGATAAAACATTGCTAGAACAGTATGTAATAATAATAATATTTGTATGTTATTTTTTCTGCAGAAAGTGAAAGAAAATGAGCAGGAATATGAAATACCTTTAAAAATTCTATCATATGAGGTAAATTGAATTTTCTGTAAATATTTTGCATTGCTTTTTATCTTTTAAAGTTTCATATTAATGTCAGATTATTTTCTTGTAAATATTTTTCTGACTGAAATATGTTAAGACTTATTGGCTTCAAATTGGTTTTATTTGTCATTAAACTTTTTATTGTAGCACATAGTTATTTCTAAACACTATACAAAACTTTTCGACATGAGGAAATAACATATTATCAGCATATTCTGAGTTTATTTTTTAATTAAAATAAGAGTTACCTATAGTAAAACACTTTAAGAGTTTATAGTAGACAAAGAAAAAAGCTTTGTACCAATAACAATTCTTCAGTACAATGATATCCACACTTCAATGTGAGCTTTCATTATCATTTTCTATCTTAGTTTTTTGTTTGTGGTATTTAAGTATTGTGCAGAAATTTTATACACATTTTTAATAAATTTTTTATTATATAATTTCTTTTTATTGTGAAGTATACAGTTTCTAAAATGAAAAGAAATAACTCTAATAGGCATTATAAATTTTATTGCTATACTGTGTAAGCTGAATTCTATTCATTCATTGTTTGTATCTTTTTTAAGTCGATTTGTGACTCAAAAATAGATTCTTTTTTTTGTGTATTTAGTGTAAAAGTCAACTCCTGACTTTATACATGCTTAAAATAAATTTAAATGTTTAATATACAAAAAATTAGAATAATAGCAGAGCTAAACTACCTTTGGTTTAAAAAAAAATTTAATAAGAATGGAACACTGAACTAATAAAGAAAAGGTATTATTAACTTATTTATGTTGACTATGAATTATGACTATGAAAATATGAAGCTTCCACAATATGAGGAGAGAAAAGAAATGAATGTGTTGTTGTGAGTAAGAGTAATGCATTAATAATATAAATGGTTAGGGACTTCAGAAAATGTTGAAAAAATAAATTTAATGAAGGTGGCATTGATTGATAGCAGCCTTCATATTTTATTCAATATGGGTGCATGATCTTAAGAACTAAAGTAAAACCTTTTCAATAACACTTTTAAAAGCCTTTAAAATAAATGCACTTTTTCTTATATTTTTATTTATCATATAGAGCAGTGATGCTCAAACTATAAACTGCACCAAAAATATGACACATCATACATCAGATCTACTACAATTAATTTTAATTAAATGCATTTTAAAATGATTTAAATAAATCTCAGAAAATAATTACCAACATCCATATTCTTTCTTATGATTTCTGAACATGTCAATATGAGACTCGTTTTACAGGCACCATTAAAATTGAGTGATACAACATTTACGACGGGGGGAAAAATGGCTGTTAAAGTGAAGCTAAAGAAAAAAATTTAATTTTAATTCAAAACATATATTTTTATTTCTTTTTATTAAATTTCTAAATGTGATTTTTTTTAAATAAATTAAATTATGGTTAAAAAGTAACATTTATATCTGTTTACTTCTAAAATGTACGCTCATAAACAATGTGCTTGATAATGGCGTTCAAAACTTTTTATTTTTTTTTATTTCAGTATTTGTGCTGCTTATTTTTATTTTTAGGATTATTATTTATTATTTTTATTAATATATCATTCACAATTTCTTTTAGGATCTCTATGGATGGACCATGGATAAAATTGTGGAACAAGTAGGCTTGAAAAATAATTGTAATTTCTTCTTTAATTTTTTAATGACTTTATGATTTTATTTTTTAATATTTAAATAGTTTTGCTGTTACTAGTATGTATTATCTTTTATAATTTCAAAATGGACTTTAAAAATTAGCTTGTAAGGGTTTAGTTTTTATTTTGAATCTCAGATATTTTTTTAAGTAAAAAAATTGCTTTGACAATTTATTTTAAATTTAAGAAAAAGTTTTAAAAACTTTTTGATTGCTTAAATTTTTCTTATGTTTTGTATTTATTATACTACTTTGAAGTTGTCAATTATGAATTTTACTTTTTTCTTTTGTTATATTGAATACCTGTATTTGGAGCACTTTCTACTAATATTTATAATAATTGTATTTTTATTTATGATACTTTTTTATTGTCTTGTAATTATGAATATAAATTTATACAACTTGTAAATTTCAATTTATCCATAACCTTGCTTGATTAATTTTTTCAGGTTGTAAGTTTATTGTAATTAATTCCCATACTGTCAAGTTTTATTTATTTACTATTGTTTTCTTTGATTAAAAAGTTTACAAGTCAACAAAGAAGCATAATATTTTTTTCTTGAATATTTTAAATTTTGAAAAAAATTATTTTGCTATGTCAGGAAAATTTTTTAATAAATTTTTTAATAAATATTTTAAATATTGGTTGCATACAAGTAAGATATTCAAAATTGTAAATTGTGTTTAATATAAAAAACTGCGAATTAAATTGTAAGTACATGCTTTTTCTTTTAAATAATATGTTGATTCCTTCCATTGTTCTTAAATTGTTAGTTAAGCTAACTTAAAAGTAATTTTTATGAAGTGTGCAGAGAATTATTGAGTCACAGGTAGAAAATATTGAATTATTTTTAATTGAATTTTATAAGAGTGTTAGTAAAAGTAAATTCAATTTCATGCAAGAAAGGGAGATTTTAACAGTCTTTTTCGGTTTTGAAACATTAACTCTTCATTTATAGAAATTGTTTTCTCATAAATTTATTGAGTTGAAATGTTGGTGAAAGTTAACCCAAACAAAATCAAAATGTTGGTTCAGTATACATTATGGGCAATGGACCTAGAGATGTCATTGAAAGCTTCACAGATTCCATGAAATACATTATTCATTATTAATTCTTATTTTTTGTGAGGTATATTTTCCAAAAAACTAACTTATTCCCATTTAAAAATTTGCTTAACCACTTTTGCTATTGCTAACATTTTGGTGAAATGTTTTTATTATTTTTTATTAATTCAGGACTGCTACTACTGTGTCTTGATTACTGCAATTAATTTACTTTGTAATTTTTTTAAAAGTTTATTTTATTTTAATAATTACAGTTTGAAATAGTTTCTGTGATTAGCTCAGAAGCCGTACATGTTTTTTAATGAAGACTCCTTTATTTTAAAACTATCCCCTTTTTACCCGTATATTCTCAAATTTCTCCTTTTTGCTAAAGAAATTTTTTTAAAAATTAAATTTTGATGATAAAATATCCGCCTGATGGCAAAAATACTTCTCTTATTCCTCAACAGATAGTGCTAGTGCCAGTACTGCAGTATGTTGAGTGTTAATAGTTTAAGCAATTATAAATAATGGTTTAAAAAAATCTTCTTTTGGTTAAGATTTATAGTCATAGTTTTTACATTGCTGAATGTAAGCGCTTATCTAATTTCCAATTTTGAATTTCTCATTTTGACTTACTTGATCATGCATGATGTATCAAAACTTTACTCGTAGCCTAAATAATGTCGCTAGTGAAATCCCTGTTATTTTATTTTGCCAATGTTGACAAGTATGATAAGCTGATCGATCTAGAGTACTGTTAACGAAAATTAAAGAATTAAAAATTTTTGAATTTTCTCAATCATGCTCACTATTAAGTTCTCAGCACTCAATTTTCTACTTTACATAAGGCACACCTTTCAAATTAAGTAACAGCTTTTTCCAATTAAAGTGATTTTTTATGTCACTGCAATTTGTAAAAATCAATAAAAATTTTCCTAAAAAATACGCTTAACTGTTTTAGATTTTAAAGTGATTTAGATAAATATCTAGATTTAGTTCTGAGTCTGCTTTTCGAGTCAGAGAATGCTAGGCAATAACCATGTTAGATGAACATAAATTATGGACCTTTGAATGGAAAATCTTAAGAAGAGTATTTGGTGAAGTCCATGAGAATAATGGCTGCAAATCCTTGTTTAACTTTAAAATTTATCAAAAGTAGAAGTAACCTGATATTGTTAAAGTCATAAAATGTAATAGACTACAACGACTCGGACATCTATTCCGATCTGATAATACAAACCCTGTAAAAAAACTCACTTTTACTAATCCCATGGAAAAAAGTAAATGAGGAAGGCCCCTGATTCGGTGGTTTGACTTAGTACTGGCAGACTTTTGTATAAGAAATGAAGGAAAATGGAAGAATTGTTGTGGATAGGACAATATGGCCATAACTACTTGGGGCAGCTTTGATCTGTAATAAGCTGTAGAGCCTCTCAGATGAAGCTTTAAACATATGTGAGTCTCTATTCCTGCTGATTGTCTATGACTGTAATTATGTTATGTGTTCTCTAAATTCTCTGTAAACTCTTCACTAAGGCGATAGTCTCCTTCTAACCGTGAAGTGTGACCTGTAATGCATTTTCTACATACTGAGATTGCAGTGGTTTGAAAGTTGTTAAGCAAGACATCAATATTCATCATACAGGTGGTCAGGAAAGAAAGGGATTGTCAACTAATGACCTTGTTCATGAACTGGACTGGAGATCAAGACAAATTTTAGACTTCCTCTTGCACGAAATGCTGGTTAAAAGGACATCATTTTGGTACAGATAATAAGCTGCAGACCAGCTAAGGACTTGACTTAAAACATAACGGCTGCATTCTAAGACAATGCTGCTAGAAATTGACATCATTCTATATGATAAATGTCTAAATTAGCAATAATGATATAGAAAAATAGCTGCAAGGTGTAATAAAATGTTACAAATGAAACATTTTTCATTTTCAATATGCTTTTCATCACACAGTCAATCTAACCTTAAAAAAGATAGATATTGTAATTTAGAACAATATAATGAAAATTATGAATCATTCTAGGTACATTTTGTGGAGTTTTTAGAAGACAAGCTCTTGACAGAGGTGCTGCACTTTTGGGAGTAAACAAGTTAGTTACTGGTAAGTTCTTAACATTATTAATTTTTCAGTATCAATTCCTTTAGCATGGTTCTGTTCATGGAAACTCAGTTTAGAGCATTTATATTTTAATTAAATTAAACAACTCTTAAAGCAGCTAATTTTAAAAAATTGAAATTTTTGTTTATGATAACTCTAGTCATGTGAGATTATTACTCCAATTGCTTCCAACTCTTGTGTTTTGGTGTATAAATTTTTTTAAAGCCGTTTCAGGAAAAGAAATACTGTTCTCATGGAATAAAAATTCAGTTCATTTAAGAAATCTTAATGCTCATCAACTATTTTCTAAAAACTTTATTTGATATATAGGCTAACTCTATTTTTATTTATTTTGAAGTATAAATCTTTAAAGCATAATGTGTTTTATTAATTTTACAATACATGACTGTGTGAACATAAAAGTGTTACTAATCCAATTTTTTTAATTAGTTGGTTTGTTTTATTTAAAAGAATCTTCTGATCATGAAATATATTTATTCATAATTAAAACATTAAGTTCATAAGTAAAACTTTCATAAAATATATTTATTCATTTATTTTAAATACTTTTCTAAACATTAATACTTTATATTTCTAATATTTAATATATTAGAAACATTAATATTTCTAAGCGAAATCCTTTATTCTAAACATTTTTAATTCAAATTATTTTTCAATAATTTAAGCTTATCTTTTTTTAAGGTAGCCAAATATTAGTGTGTAGATTTTATAGAATTCTTTTTTCAGATCTAAAATTTAGGCTCATAGTTAAATAATTACAGATTATAAGTGACTAATTATAAAATTAAAGTTAAAGGAATAGTTTTTAAACAGCATTTTGATAAAAGATGTTCAAAGGGGAAACTTTTAATGTAGATTATAATTTGTTTTTTTATTCATAATAAGTCATTAATAGCTGTACCGATATAGTTGAATGATGAAGTATATTTCAACCATTTATTTTTTAATCTGATGGGTCTTGAGTTACTACCATTTTAAACAGTTTGTGCCCTTTTTAATGAATAAACCCATAACTCAAACAGAGTTACTTTTTTCTGGAGAATGTGAATCTGCAATAAAGCTAGAGGTACAAATTTAAAATGCAAAGATATTTGAATATTTCCAAACTTTTTTACAACCTGTATATGATTCTGAATTACTGATATTTATATATATTTTTGTAATATCTAGGGCATAATGCAGATGATATTGCTGAAACAGTTTTAATGAATGGTGAGAGGAAACATGTTTAATACACTATATATTTATGAAAATTTTTTATGTAACTCTTTGTTTCATACATGTTCACATCTCTTTTTTTCCCTGCAGTTTTAAGAGGTGATGTTGCAAGGCTTCAGAGATGCACCAATATCACAACAGTAAGCATATTGTTCCAGTAAGCCTATTATTTAAAACACTATGTTCATTACCTTTTCATACTTTATTGTTCTTTAAATTTTCTTCTTTTTTTATTTAGGATGCTGAGGGATTAATACCTAGATGTAAACCCTTTAAATATACTTATGAGAAAGAGATAGTTTTATATGCTAAACACAAACCCTTGAATTATTTCACAACTGAGTGCATATATTCACCCAATGCTTATAGGTATGATATTTTAGATCATTTTAGTGGCCCCCAAATACCATATTTTATTCTGAATAATTCATTGGTTTTATCTGATAAATTATATTTTTTGATTTTATTCATGAAAAAAATCTTTGAATGTAAGGTTGTTATTGTCATTAACAATTGATAACTAATGTTGATAATGCTTTAATATATAATGATATTTTCTTATTTTAAATCATTTGATGTCTATTATTTTATTTGTCTATAATTTGATTATTTTAAATAATAATCTGTTACATAATATTTGCTCAACTCTATGAAACTTCTAGTCCTTGACTAGGTTTTTATTTTTATTTTATTAACTACTTCACATTAATAATTATCTGCTATCTTTATATTTCTAACAAGTTTAATGTAGTTTAGGTTGGCTTTCTCGAACTATTGTAGAAATTACGTTTATATATTCAGTTTTTTCCTTTCAAAATTTACTTCTTTATTTTTGAATTTAATCATTTTTAAACTCACTTTAATGAGAAGAAATTTTAAGGAATATATTTTTTTTACATATCTGTTTTTCATTGTTTTGAATCGTATGTGATACTTATTGTAAGTTAAATGTTTGCTTCAAAAATATTGTGGCTTCTAAAAATTCTTTAGGAGTAATATCGCTGTTAACTTTTTTTCTTTATTTAAAGATGATATTCTTATGTTTATATACAGTCTACATACATTTAAATTTTCACTCTAATTTTGTATAGATGTTTAATATGAATGCTTTTTTTTTTTGGATAGAGATTTAAGATACTTCCTTTATTATATCATGTTTAACAGCTAATAGCTTTAATATGTAGATTTATAAAAATTATTTTCCAGTTCTTAACATGATCTCTGCAGATTTCATGCTAGTGCTTGTTAGTCACTAAAGTAGGAGGATGAATATCTGGTTAGCACACTATTCTTCCAAATTCTTAAAAACAGAAAGTTGGTTGCATTACTATATTATTTTCACTGGCATCTTTCTATAGAACTTTGCATTCAAATTAATTACAAAAGTATGAATCTAGTTTAATTTAAAAACAGTTGATATGTTCAAAAATAAGAATTACTTTCAGCAAGTATCAAAGCCTAACATTTGAAGTGGAAAAAAAATACTGATTTAAAAGGGCTTTTAAATATTTTGTCGAAAACTTACTTCTTCTGAAAGCATTTTAGAAATAATTTTAAATTTTTTTTTCTTGATTGCATTACTAGTTATTGAGTGAACCAGTATTTGAAAATTTTACACCTTATGCCCCGTAAGTCTTACAGGGTTGCTTTTTAGATATTTACCTTAAATTAAATCTGAAATTAAATTTTGGTTTACTTATTTAATTCTCTACTTATCATGATTAGAATTCTATAGTGTAAAGACACATTTTTTATGTTTTTCAAATTTTTTATTTGATGCGAGTAGTAAATAATTGTAAGTATGTAGCTGATGACTAAATTCATTTTAAAAGATGCTAATTTGATTATTATTATTGTATTAAAAATTTATAAACTTATTTTAAAATAGAATGTTTCTATTATTTTTAAATATATTTTGCTTGCAAGATCTAAAACACTTTTAACTTACATTCATTTTTTTATTTGTTTGTATTTTTACAAATGGGTATTTCTTTTGAGTCTTGTAATTTTTTAAAAAAAATTTCTTTTTTTTTCTCAATGAAATTTTGCATAATCAGTTAGTAATAATCATGATTGTTTTTATTTTTAGGGGGCATTTTAGGCAATACTTAAAAGATTTAGAAAGAATATCCCCTCCAATAATTCTTGGTATGTGAAGAGTTACATATGTATACTATTTGTTGTTTTCTTTGAAGAAGTTAATAGTCTCTTTTGTTATAAAAATCAAAATGATCCAAGCAAAATTTTTAATTATTGTATGATGTTGCTTTGCATCAACTATTCTATATTCAGATAGAAAAATATTGACCTTAAAATGACTCTTTACTTTCATAATGCATATAAAAGCTGAGAGATAATCAATCTATGTTATTTCAGAAAATGTGTTTTTGGTAGTTTTTATCGTAATTTTTACTCTACTACTATAAATTGACTATAATTATATTACTAACTGTAAATTTAGACATAGTACAAGTATCCGTCTATTTTATATAAAATAAAAAGCATTGTCACTACAGCCTGTTATAGGCTAAGTTCAAGAAGTTCAGAAGATTTAGACTCCACAATTTCTTGATCCTATGCATAATGGTCATTATGCAGTCTAAACAGTACTTTACGCAACTCGTCTTTAATTTTTTGATGAGCTGGTACCCACCATTCTGAAGGTTGAGAAATTCGAATCGCAATCGCGGATAGAACATTAAACCTTCTTAATGACAGCTCAGTGCCTCAATTAACATACCATAGCAGTTCATATAAATTTAATTGTGTCAAAATTCCTGCAAGTAATTCCTAATAATCTAAATCTTTATTTGAAGAATGTTGTTATTAGATTAGGTTTTTTAATCTTGTTTGAAAATAGCTTGGGTTTTTTTTTTGTTTGTTTAATTTTGTTATGATTTGTTTAAATAACGGTTATTTACTGTTTAATTGCTATAAACTTTTTCAATTCCACAAAGTTCTCAAAAATAATTATTATTTTCTCAAAGACAGTTTACAGACTTTTTGATTTATCCCAGTGGTGCTCCAAAATAATTATTTATCAGAATAATTTGTTAATTCAATTTCAAATCTGACTTTCTTAACGAAAGTTATTGCTTTCTCTGAAAAACTAATTGTAGTTGGGGAAAAAAGAAAATTTTTTAATCATGTTTTTTGCTAAGAAATTATTTATGTTGTGTTAAACAAATTCTAATTACAATTTCAATTCGAGTAAGTTATTAAAGCAATTGTTTCAACAATAATTGAATTATTCCAAAACCAATGAACTTATTCATACCTTATTAAAACATAAAACACTAAAGACAGTCATAACAGAAGTTTTTTTAAGTATATGTTCTAGCTGTTATCATACTGTTATAAATCTGTATTACAAAAATAAACCTTAGTTTTAGAATACCTCATAACTGAAAATAAAACAAAAAAAGAAAAAAAAAAACAGTTGTACATTCTTTTGAGGAAATAACATAGGAGGAAAAATGTTTTTTATCACCCTTTCTTAAAGTAAGGATTATTTAATTTCATATGTCATACTATTTGTGTTTCCCTTAGTTGAGTTGAGTTACATAGTTATTTTCTGTTATCATCACCGGAAATCTTAGGTAATCACATAATATAGTGACTAATTATGTTACGATGCTTTTAAAATATGTCATGTTTTATATTGCTGGTTGTTTCAATGTAAATATCAAGGTTATAGTCTTAATTTCTTTAAAAAGTATCATAGTTAAAAATCCTCTCACAGAAATTTTTAATACACAAAGTTGACACAATTGTCAAAAAGATTAGATCTTAAGATCTTACATAAGATAAGAATCTTAATACCTAGAATTTGTATCTAGATCTTAATACCTAGTTTAACTGATACTGTAACAAATTCAAATGTCCTAATGTCCTCCCTAATTCAAATTCTCTGTCAACCATATTCCCTTAAGTTGAGATGCATTTAATTGGTATTTAATGTTAGTGACACTTAAAACATGAAGTCTTTTACAATTACATAAAATATTGATAAAATATTTTAAGATACTTTTAAAATATATCATATATTTTACTGCTGGTTGTGTAAAGGTAAATAATAGCTGTTAGTTCAGTTCTATTCTCAATTTCTTGAAAAAGGGAAGTTAAAACTATTCTCACAGAAAATTTTACAATGATATTAAGATCTAATGAACTGGTATTGAAACACATTTTACTTTTATGAAATGAAGAAATGCAATTTTTACTGTCTAAATTTTTGTTTATACCACTCATTAAAAATATGTGAAATTTCTTTGCTTTTAATATTTTTTCCATTTTTGCAGATATTCTTCATTCTGGTGAATGTATGCGACTGAAAGAAGAAATAAAATTGCCAACTCAAGGTAATTTAAAAATTTATTTAAATGTTCTCATTAACTTGTAAATTTGTTACCTTTCTTGATTTGCTTCAAAAATTTCACTTCAGTTTATATTTCATACTGTTAATAAAGTATGAAATATATGAAACATTTTGAATATGTAAGGAAGGTAGATTTTTGAGACATTTTCTTGTGGTTTCATTTCTTTTGCTCTCACTATTAAAAAAAAGTAAACCTAAGATCTAAATTGTATAAAACTCTTATTGTATTTTCCTGAGTAATATGCCTCATTTTTGAAATTTTTTATTATCATCATTTACTTGGTATAAGTTTTTATTTCAATTTTATTCATCAATTAGGATTTTATTCACTTCTAAACAAAGTTAAAAGCTCTAAGTTAAAAAAATGCATTTAGCTCCCTCTGTTGTTGAAATTATTTAATATAAATTTCTACAGTGTTTTAATTATTTTTATTTTTTAATGTTTTTTTTTCACATCGATTCAATTTTTATTTCTTGTAACATTTAATACATAATAATATTTATTTCTTAAAATTTTTAAAAATGAAAAATATGTATTTTATTTATTTTTTGTGCCCATGAAGACTTAAATTGTAAATCTCTTACAGGTTTATGTAAAAAATGTGGATACATTTCAAGTCAAGCAGTGTGTAAAGCATGTGTCATGCTTGAAGGCTTAAATACTGGAATACCAGGGTATGCCTTTTAAGCTTTAATCATCTATAAATATTTTTATTTCTTTAGATAATATTAAATATCTGGTTTTCTTTCTGTTTGTTGTTTCTGTTTCTAAGTAATCCAAAGAAAGTAAAAAATAGTTATATAACAAGAAATAATTATTAATTTTATTTTGTTTAACTATTTGATGATTTAATATTTTTATGTATTGTATTGGTGGAGGTTCACGTCCCGTGCCACAGGTCCTGGGTTCGATCCTCGGGCCGAGCAAGGTTGACTCAGCCTTTCATCCCTTCAGTGGGTCGATAAATGAGTACCAAGCATGCTTGGGAACTAAACACTGGGGGTTTCGTTCGACTGACCTCCTAACCGGAGCATCTGCTCCTGCACCCCAGAGCCCAAGCTCAAGAAACATGAGATGAGCACAGTAGGCCTTGGCCCTCTATGGGCTGTCGCGCCACTGAGTTTAGTAGTAGTTTAGTTTAGTATATATTGTATAGGGAAAGTGGGATTGGGTGTCTAAGATTGAAAAGCTTGTTGGAGCTAAACTGTTCAACCTAGAAACTGTCAAATTTAATCACAATATTAATTGATTAGTTGTGTTCAATACATCATTTTGGAAAAGTCATTGATGTACTATTCTTTTTACAAATTATTTTTTCTAGAGAAAGTCAAATCACTAACTCTTACCCACTAGAGAGGTAAGACTGGGTACTCAATGAAATACTTAGGAATACTAGAACTTCAGTGAAAAAGTTGCAGACTTTTCTATTTTTTATTGCCATTTAAAATAATTATGCATGTAATTTACATGCAATGTATTCAAGGTCGTGCTCAAGAAGGGGAGAAAGGGGGACAATTGCTTTAAGGCTCCGGGGAAGTTGAGGGCCAGACAGAAATTCCTTACAGAAATTATAGTGCTTATTAATTAGTTTTTTTTTGCTTATTAATTAGTTTTTTTAAAAGTAAATTGCAGAGAAATTTTTTATAACTATATTAAAATGGCTATTTTGTATAAAGGGTCTTCAAACATTTTACAAAATATGAAAATTAGGCATTTTGTGCTGCGAGAAATAGACCTGCAATAAATTTTGTCTTGTGGTCATAAAACATCCATTCAGCCTTGGATGTAGTTATCTCCTTCCTCTGCTGCACTGCAACTTTTGTGGGCCTAAAATAGGCATATGTCTAAGGGGGACATGATTAGGTTGTACCTTGAGAGCAGAGGTTATCAAAACGGAATAGAACAGTGCTGAAATTAGACTAAATCCTTATTGTTTGTTAGAGTTTAAATCTTTCGTAAACATATAAAAAACTGGACTGCACAAAACACAAGGATACTTGTGTATTGTGCAATCCACAAGTGTAATACACAATAATACACAAGGATAGCTTAAAAAATAAGTTGACATAGTAAAACAAACATATCTACACAGATGTCAAAAATTCATCAACAGCATTGCACCAATGTAGTAGCTTCTTCTTCTTTACTAGTAAAGTGTAATTCGGAGTTTATCCACTAAAAAATAAACTAAAGTACACACAATCAAGGCACTCGGTCCCACCCGTCTACCCACTCTTATCCCACTCTCCCATATATTTGGCTTGATTTGAAATAGGAGGATGGGAATATGTGCAATTAAAAAAATTTTGCTTAAACAAAGTAACTGAGCAATGTTAAAAAAAAAAGAAAAGAAAAATAACTTTTTAGGTTGACTGGAATAAACCTTGATTTAGACTGGAATATATTTATTTCCTCACATGCTGCTATTTTTTCAAATCATTGAGAAAAATGCTTATCTTTCCTATATAAACAGAAAAGAATACAAAAAAGAAAATTTATTTGTGGTAATCTAGTAACAGTTTTCTTTTGTAATTAAGTATGAAAATTAATGTATGAAATAGAATGTTAATACTTTTATAATTTCTTTTGCACTATTTTATTATCTTATTTTCTGATTTATTCTGTAAATGTTAATACTTTTATAAGTTGTTTTGCTCTATTCCATTTTTTTATTATCTTATTTCTGTTTATATATTTTAAGTTATTAAAATAGGCATATGCCTATTATTTTATTTACATAATTTTTTTTATTATTTTAGGCTAGGTGTAAAAAAGAGCAGTAAAGTGAAAAATAAGGTAATATACTTAGTGAGCAACTGAATATTAATTATTTACCTAGAAAGTGTTTCTGTTTATATATACTTTTAGTACACAAAGTAATTTTGTATTTTGGTATAGATTCTTTTGCTATAGTAGTTTATTTAAAATATTTTTTGAATAAATTAAGAAAAATATTACTTTTCCAATCATTTATTTTAAAAAAAAAATCAAATAGATGTCTGTAGATAAAACAAGAAAGTCAGTTGTGTTGAACACATTATTTTATTACATTAAACACCAAATTTTTTAGAACTATATATTTAAAACAATAACATAAAAAAAAGTTGTTATCTAATTTGGAATTTCTTGACAAAGTGATTTAAATAAACATGTTGGTGCAGAACAGGCAGTTTTGACTGATAAATTCTTAATTGATTGTCTCTCTTTTATTACAGATTGTAAAATTTTGATAAAAAAAATTTTCTTTTTATAAATTCTTTAATTTTTTAAAGATTTTTATTTCTATCTATTTGTTAAAAATGATTTTTTAATCATTTTTAGTTTTTAGAACCAAGAAATATGAACATACAAATATGTGCTTCCTTTGCAAACTTTGAACTATGTGTTCATGTAATGTGAAAGAAGATTGATGAAATGTATTTTGTTAATAAAAATTTAAGGATACAGATATGGGAAATATGAACTAAATATTACTATATTTTATAATAAAAATTATTAATATTATCCTTTTATATGTAATAATTTTTTAATACTCATTAAGTTTGATAATACTTTCTAAGTTTGATAATAATCTGTTAGCGAGCCAAATTATTTTATTTTTGACAAAAAGAGTTAAAATTTATAGACACAAGAGTTAAAAATTATGAAAGGGCAAAATTATTGATGGTATTATTTTTCCCATTTTTCTTACATTATTTTATATTGTAATATTTTACATTCTTCTAAATGCTATAAGTGACAGTTATTTTTTTAATTTTAGTATAATTTTATAAAAAATTAATTATTTTTTTAATGAGGTATTAATTTAATTTTATATTATGAAAAATAAGAGCGTTTGATGTTTTGAGTAGATATTGTATAATTGAAACTTTTATTTTATATAATAATGTTTAGAATAATTTTGAAGTTATTTATTTATTACAGCATTTATGATGGTTTCTATTTCTTTACAGTTTATTATTATTAGATTTTTTTTTTATAGATTAATGATATTTCATCTAAATGTAATTCAGGAGGATGTGGAAGTTCCCAATGCAGTTCCTAATATTTCTAAATAAGGTCAAAGAGAATTTCTTTATTAATTTGTAAATAATTACAATGTAAATAAATATTTTTAATAAACAATTCTTTTATTTTATTGAAGTTATGTGATTGTTGTTTCCATTAAAAAATGTAGACACAATTCTGATTAAGTTTTATTTAAAACATTTTTCAAATAAGTTTTTTCAAAATTTGTCGTTTTTTTGTGTAATTTTACTTAATTTAATAATATAATAATTACTTATACTTGTGATAGATTATATAAATTCCATAAATAACTTTTTGAATATAATGATATTTTTACAAAATTTAATCACATCAAACAGCAAAATTTAATAACAGATAATACCTCTTATTTTTTTAAATTTCAGACCTAATTTTTTTTTTATTGGCTTCAATATTAAGGGTAAAAAGAACAATACAGTCAAACCCCGCTATAGTGAACACGGTTTATAGTGAACTCCCGGATATAGTGAACGAAATGTTTGGTCCCGTGCCTTGCTATACACGTATAATGTTATTTTTTGTGGATATAGTGAACCAAAAAAGTGAGGAAGTTGGATATAATGAACTTTTTTCTGTCTGCGACTGATTTTTTTCTTCATTTTTTTGGTAATAATTTTGAAGTTTCTACTTCAAAATAAATACCTATACCAATTTTCAAAACCATATATAGAGGGGAATGTAGCAATAAGTATTTTTTATCTCACTTTCCCATCCCTAAACAAACCAAGCAGATGTTTACCGATGTTATTATGTAAGACGATGCACCTGTAAGGTGTCAGTGGGATCAATATGCATTTTCTGTCAGAGGGAAAGAGTCGATATTGGTCAAAAGGCTGGACACTAATATGTGTTGATAAGGCCCTCGTTTTACTCCTTTTTCAGTTCAGTTTAAAAAAAGCCTGCAAATAAGTTTCTCAAATTTAACTAATGTGACCAGTAAATGTAAGACGATCTTCATTGATGATAAAATGGGCATAATCAGAAAAATTGAAAATGGATGCAATCCAACTGATATTTGCAGAGAATATAAACTATCCAAATCTGCAGTTTGTAACACATGGAAAAATAGGTAGTTAATAATTTCTGCTCAGGAAAGAAAATTTAGTAGCCAGAAAAAGTTGAGAAAAGCAGATCACAAGGATGTTGAACAAGCATTACTGAAGTGGTCCAGCATTAGAAGAAGCTACAATCTTCCAGTATCTAAACAAATGTCGATGAATTTGCTAAGCAATTTCATGAGACAACTTTTAAATGCTAAAATGGCAGATTAGACCGGTTTAAAAAGCGGAATAACAGAAATTCAGGAAAAATTATCTGAGAGTCGGGAAGTGTTTCCATATCTGATGTTGAGCATNTTTTTTTTTTTTTTTTTTTTGTACGTAAGACGAAGAGTAATAAAAAAATAACACATGTTTTGCTACTAGATACTATTTTTCGGTCATTTATTTGGATAATGTGTAATAAAAAGGAGGAGTTGAGGAACCATTAGTTTAATTGCCTGAGTAACGGATATAGTGAACTCCCGGTTATAGTGAACCGAAATGTCGGTCCCTTGAAGGTTCACTATAGCGGGATTTGACTGTATTTCCATCGAAGCTGATTAATTATTGTATTATCTAATTTCTTCTTTTTTTTCAGTTACTTTAAAATTTTTAAATCTGCTTTAAATTCAAAAAGTTGACTAAATGAATCTAATCGAACACAATGCATTTTATTAAGTAAAGAAATAAATATGTTGCACAAGTTTTATGCAAAGGGGTACTGGAACAATTGAGTCAAAAATAAAAATTAACTTCCGTAAACAATTGCTCCACCAGACTGGTTTTTATCACCTTGCTGTGGTTGATGAGCTTGCATGTGTCTAAGCTGCACTGCCGGCGGTAACTTAGTTGCTGGAACCTCCCAAATCTGACTGATAGTTGGTGAGGTATCAGACAAAGAGTAACATCGTGGTCCTCCTGGTAGGTGGTTAAGTATACGGGTAAAAACCTCATCCTGTAAAACATCCTCTGTTGCGAAATTTAAAGAATCAAAAACTAGACTGTATTTTGGGGGCTAAAAAGGAACAACTGAAACATCAATACGATTCCCACAATTCTTGGTTTAGATGGTTAAAAGAATATTTGTTAGAACTGAAAAGCTATCATATGAAGTTAGAAACACAACAGTTGCTTAAGCTAAAAGAACGCGTTGTAGTACTTCTCCAGGAAGACCTTCATCCTCGCAAATGTGGAAAAAGCTCTTGTTTTCAAATTAATACTTGGGCGAGATGGAGTCAGCTGTCCATTTGAGGTGCGGAGACTATATCTTGTCATGTCCTATCCTATACAACTGGTTATTCTCTTGGAGATAGACCAGGACGCTAATTTACAATGCCGCTGTGTTTTAAGGACTTTCTCTCTTTCATTGGAAATTTGCCTGGTAAATGTAGTTGGTCCCAATTGTAATTCCAGCTTTCATTTCTTTTAAAATTTGTTACTTGAACTGTAAAAATGCCAAGAATTAAGATTTTTTTTTTAAATTCGCGATCGCAACGAACTATAGGGGGCGTTGTTGTATGAGACGGATACCTGCGATTTCCATATGAACAGTGATTCAGTTACTCTAGAGAGGTCTTTAATGTAGCACGTAGCATTGCAATGTTCCTTCTCTATTGTGGCTAATTAAATTTAAAAAAGAAAAATATTTGGTATTCTTTCTTATGCAAACGAAAACAAAATGGTATCTCTTTTTATTAGAGAAAGAATATCCATCGGAAAAATATTTGTACATTAACAGAAAAAAATATGTATATTCTTATAAGAGTTAAAACCTAATGCCCGAGAAATAGTTTCACTAAATTTAATGATATATCATGAAAGGCCCATTTAAACTTTATATTCTATAGTTTTAAGAATCATATTACTACTTCAAAAATTAAAATGAACAAAAAGTATACATAAGCCTTATAATTTTATGAAATTTAATTTTGTAAAAAAAGTTTTTTGACAAAAATTTTTATCAAAAAATTTCAAGTTTCAATAAAAAACATTATTTAGAAACTAAGAAAAGTAAAATAAAGAATGCTGACGAAACAAAAACAAAAAAACAATTCTTTTTTGTCGCCATTTTTAGTGCTACGAAAATTCGTCTTTGGGATTTGCCAAAAACAAAACAAGATGCAATTTTATTTTTTCAGGAGGGAAATATTTTACCGAAAAAACGAAAATGTACCAATTCCCACAACATAAAACTTTATCTTGGTAAACGTACGTTTTGGAAATGTTATTTCATTTGGAATCTTATTTATCAGAGTTCATATGGCGATATGATTGTTTTGAATCTATGCTAAACTCTATATCGGCTCATTTTCCACCGAAATCCGATTGACTATTTTGATTTTAAATAAAGTGTTTTATTTTATGAATTGTCGCAAAAATTTTAAGTGTAGATTGGCGGCACTTAAAAACCGCCAAATCTGTAGCGGCGGTGGCGTTAATACGTAAGTACCGAATTTTTATTCCATACTTTTCTGAATCATATTACTTCAAACATTGGAATATACAAGAAGTATACATAAACACATAATGTTATACCATTTAATTTTTCAAAAAAAGTATTTTGAGAACAATTTTTATCAAAAAATTATAAACTAAAAAACGGAAAATAAAGAATTCTTAGGATAAAAAAAACGATTTTAAGAATTCTTAACATTGAAATAAAAACTTTCATATTGTTTCTTTTTTTATTATTCTTATAGTTCTTAATCAGACGTAAAAAACCATTCTGTAGAGAACCATCATCAAATGAAAAAAAAATATTTACAAGCAAATTTTTTATTGTAAAAATCATTGCACTTACCTGATTTATGATTCCCGGAGAATTCCAAAATGATAAGTTCCTTGTTTGAAAACTTTATTCTCAAATAATAGATACATAGTTTATACCTTCATTACTTTTAGATAACATACTACACAGCAAAATTTTATAATTGATATGAATTTGAATATGTAGCTAAAAACAGAATAGCTGAATTCTAGTTGAACTTATTCTTTCAAAATTAAAAAAAACTTACCAAGAAAACGATTTAAATTAATTAAGAATCAGCACAAATGGCACTATTTCAAGTAACTTGGATAATTTTTTATTGTTGTTTTCCGAATTATATGGATACAGAAATATATACTATTCTATAACGAAGAAGAATATGCTATAACTATTACAATTCTGTATGTTCTGAATTCATATTTATTCACTGGAATGACGAAAGCAATGTTGACTTCACTTTAATTCGTAATGAATTGAAGACAGAAGAAATGCATTTTACCTTAATACACACATCTGTAACAGTATCCGAAATCGGAAGTCATCAGTTGCAAGTTTGTTGATAATAGAAATTAAAAATTATTGAGGAATTTTTCTTCAAATGTTTGGCGTGTTCTGTTCCTGAAAGATTTACTAATATTCTGGAGATTTTTTTCAAGTTCTTCGGCCTTTTCCTTAGGGAAATTTTGTTTCTTATTTGCTGCTAAAAAATGGCGTCTGATTCAGTCAATGACTTTGATGGCAGAAAATGTGATTGTATTAAGTTAATGTCCGATATTTACAGGCTCCCGCTAGACGGCGTACTCGAGCGTTGCGATCGCGAATTTAAAAAAAACTAAATAGGAGAGCGGGTCATTTAAGGGCGCTGGATTAGATACTGACCAGGACGGAAAGGATATCAAGAATTGGGGATCGCATAAGCATTTACAGATTAGCATGGGTGACGTTTAGTTCTGGATTGTGAGACAGTTGTAGAAATACTTGTTAAACCACCGATAGATGGCAGCGTTTATTGTCAATTAAATTGTAACCGTAACTGTAGAAAAGATTTTGTTAAAAAACAAGAACATCTACATTGTAATGTAGTAGTAGTAGTAATGTTTACCATTGTTCCATATTGATCATGTTAACGATATAAATATATATTTGTTACTTACCCCTTTGTAATTATTGCGTAGTTTTCCTGTACTATCAAGAAAATGAGAAAAAGGATAAATTCACTAATACTTGAGATAAATCTTCGGTGTATTTAACCTATTAGAATTAATTAAAGATGAAAAGCGAAAACAGTT